GCTTAACGACTGAGCCACCCAGGCTCCCCTTTTTTAAAGATTTTATTTATTTGAGAGAGACAGAGAGAGAGAGCGAGCACGAGTGGGTGGAGGGGCAGAGGGAGAGGCCGAGAATCTTGAGCAGATTCCCTATTGAGCACAGAGCTTGGCACAGGGCTCCATCTCATGACCCATGAGATCATGACCTGAGATGAAATCAAGAGTCAGATGCTTAACTGACTGAACCACCCAGGCCCCCCATGTAGCTAATGTTTTAAAAATGTTATATTCAAAAACTAATGATGTACTATACAGTGGCTAACTGAACATAATAAAAAATGTTATATTTAACATGGATTTCCACTTGTAATCATGCTTTTGAATTGCAGTTAAGTAGATAATTCTGGACCTTGTTTCACAGAAAGGTATCTCATCTATTCTGAGTTCTGTTTAACCATTTAGTGTTAAAACTGGCTAACTACAGGTGCTGTCCCCATTTTCCATACAATAGAAATGAATGAAGTGAGTGTAAGAGGTCTGCATCGTGGAGAGATGGAATTCTTCCCATAAATCACCAAGGTTCAGAGAATTCTTTTTTAGTGAAAACTGTCTCCAGTTTGAGTTCTCTGTGGTTTAAGTACCATACACAGTTCCAGTGACTTAAGAACTATCCTAGCAGGAAGAAAATCCCTTGTGTGATGACCATACAGTCCTTGAAGAGCGACCTTAGGAATAGCATCTTTACGACTATGACACAAAGTAAACAAAAAGGATCTTGATGTATTTGGTATTACCTGGTACTGTAATCTTTTTTTTTAAATTTTATTTTATTATGGTATCTTAGTCACCATACATTACATCATTAGTTTTTGATGTAGTGTTCCATGATTCATTGTTTGTGTATAACAACACCCAGTGCTCCATGCAGAACGTGCCCTCCTTAATACCCATCACTGGGCTAACCTATCCCTCCACCCCCCTCCCCTCTAGAACCCTCAGTTTGTTTCTCAGAGTCCATCGTCTCTCATGGTTCGTCTCCCCCTCCGATTCCCCCCTTCATTTTCCCCTTACTACTATCTTCTTTTAAACATATAATGTATTACTTGTTTCAGAGTGGTACTGTAATCTTAATAGTCTGATATTGTATGAGTAACGACGTATCTGATGAAGACGGCCACATTTTACGAGGATTATTAAAAACTTCTTTTGAAAGTGAGATTTTAGTTCTATAGAAGTTTAATTGGTACTTACCATGAAATGAGGTTGTGTTAAAATACGCTTTAGTTCCTTTGCATCATTATTCTCAGGGTAACATGAAATTTCTTCCAATACCTAAAAAATAAGCAAGATGTGTAACAGGATAAACAGGATGTCAGCTTTAGAAAATAGAGAATTCTTTTAAATTAAAAATTATGAATAGATTTTTTTTACAGCAGGCAAAACAATTACTTTGGAAAAAATTCATCACTTTATTAAAGGTTATCAATATAAAAGGACTTTATTGATGACAATAAAAAAATAAAATTGCTATAATTTCTCTGACTATATTACCCAACTATAACCCGAAAGGTTATTGAAAAATACAAAACAAAATGACAAGTCCACAATACATATTTACTACAGGTGTAAGCAACTTAATGGGAAAATATCTCTACAAATCTTTTTTTCCAAACTCACTCTCAAAATGAATCTGTAATAAAAGTTAATAGCAGCTTTTTTTATATTAACAAAACAGTCGATTCCTTTTAGAAAGATTAAAATGACATGGGCTCACATAAAGAACCATTTAAAGAAAAGAAACACTTCAGTAATTTTCCTGCAGCCTGGCAGAGTCAGTGTTCTTCTCCACACACATCTCCTCACATAGAGGACACCATGCTTCTGCGAATAGTTCCTAGCATCAGCTGCCAGGGAATCCAAGAGAACAGTTAAAACCAAAAACCAAAAACCACTGAAAACTTCTCTTTCCACTCTAAAAGTTATCCGTTACCATCAGGATGGAGTTACTCCATTTAAAATTTGACTATGTGACGGAGACCAGAGGAAAGCCTCTGCTGTTCGCCCCCCACCCCGGCCCCCCAGAGTAAACATACGGCTGTGGTTCTAACCATAGATGGTTGGACTCACAGAGTAGTTAAACATATTGCACTCAGTTCCTAAAATTGAGCCAATCAAAGACTGCTTCAGCAGGACTGGATGTCAGGGGCACACAAGTCATCCACCCAGAGGAATCTCTTGCCTCATCCTGGAGAATCTTAACACTGGGGCAAGAAGGACCATTAAGAGGTCATTTAGATGACCTCTAAGGCTTTAGATTTCTCAGGCATACCTAAGTGCTACTCAATCACCCCCTCAGGGAAGAAGGAAAAAGACCAAACAAACACTACAGGGTTTCTTTCTTATCTAAAGGAACCCTTAACAAGTGCTGGTTATGCTGTTAATTCATATTGTGTAATGAAGTTAAGCAAATTCTCCTCTGTGTATTTTATGCTTTGAGTGTCTGTACCAGTGGAATGGAAGGATGAAACTCTGTGTTCTCTCTGGTCCCCTGCTACTCTCACAGTCTGTGATTTTTTTTTTTTTTTTAAGATTTTTATTTATTTATTCATGAGAGACAGAGAGAGAAAGAGGCAGAGGGAGAAGCAGGCTCCCAAGGAGCAGAGAGCCCGATGCGGGACTCAATCCCAGGACCCTGGGATCATGACCTGAGCCGAAGGCAGACGCTTAACCATCTGAGCCACCCAGGCGCCCATCACAGTCTGTGATTTTAAACAGTGAGGTGTGATCCCCTAAGTCAGAGAGAACCTCTCCTGGCTGGTGCCCTTGACCGCATGGGCAGGTCCAGCAGCACCCTTGGTCTTGTTTCTCAGTGAATATGCGATGCTCTCTAGTGCAGGCGTGGTGTTTAAAATCTGGTAGGGAAGGGATTCTGTCTTTCATACTCTTTTTACTTAGTAGTCTCACTGTATAAAAACTGTTTTTAAAGGGAAATATTAATTTGCATACAGACTTTTATAACATCAAAAGTGAAAGAAAAAAAACTACATGTCTAACAATGGAGGAGTTGCTAATTCATTATGATTTAGTAGTAACAAAGAAGATTTATCCCCTCATTAGAATTTATATTTATGAAGACCAAGTATAAACATTGGAAAAATGATTATATAACATCAAGTAAGAAAAGATACATTTTGATTGCAGCTACATGAAATTTATATGCAAAAAAATAGAAAATAAAATTTATATGCAAATGGTAGTGATTGGAAGTGTATACGCAGAAATGAAAATTACTGTGTTAGGGTGCTGGGATTATGGATGGATTTTTACTTATCCAAACTTTTTGCAATATCATATTTCTATAATAAAAAAGTTGGGATGCCCGGCTGGCTCAGTCAGCAGAGCCTGCGATCCTTGAACTCGGGCTTGTGAGTTCAAGCCCCACATTAAGTGTTGAGATTACTTAAAAAAAAAACATAAGGAATAGCATGGAGGACATTAGGAGAAGGAAAGGAAAAATGAGGGGGGGCGGATTGGAGGGAGAGATGAACCATGAGAGACTATGGACTCTGAGAGACAAACAGGGTTTTAGAGGGGAGGGGGTAGGGGGATTGGTTAGCCCGGTGATGGGTATTAAGGAGGGCGTACTGCATGGAGCACTGGGTGTTATACGAAAACAATGGATCGTGGATCACCACATCAAAAACTAATGATGTATTGTATGGTGACTAACATAATAAAATTAAAAAAAAATACATTAAAAAAAAAGTTGGTAATAGGTACAGCCATGTACACTAGACGACAATTTATAAAAACAACTTTTCTCTAAACTCAGTATACTTAATTGCTATAGATATTTAATTAACTTCCAAACACTACCACCTTAAAAAAAGCAACTCAAATTTTCATAGCCTATTTCCAACCAAGCGCAGTAAAATAATTTTTTTTAAAAAAGAGAAGTACAACTCATATATTAACATGTTCAAGTTTACATAGCAGAACCAGAACTAGAAATCGAGGCATTGTTGTCCCTGAGGCTTTTCTTTCTTTCCTGTATGTAAAATGTTCAGTGTAAACTTAGAAATACTAAATCTGACTGTAATGGTCCAACTGTGACTCCAAGGAAACCATCTCTTGCTGAGCAGCAGAAATGTTTTCAATAAAGGTAGCAAATATGACTCCCAGATACATTTACAAAATATATCACTTACCTCTTTGGCTCTCTGTACTGCATCACTCGGAGGATTCCTGATTTGTGGCGAAGACTTTGTGTTAATTTTGTCATACAGCTAAAAGCAAAGAAGAAAATCTGATCAACACTCATAATTCTTTGCTAAACGTTCAGAGCTGCATATTTATTATTTCACTAAACAATATCTTCCTCTGACAAACACTGGCTGATGATTTCAGTGGTCTCCTCCCATTAATAATCTCTTACTCATTCAGTGAAACTTGTTGCAAGAGGAGTCTTATGCGTATTGTTTTAGAAAATCATCTTCAAATAGATGGTCCAAGATTCTGTCAATGTGGCAGTTTCCTTTCTCATTTAAAATCGATCACTATTTCAGAATTGCAGTATTTTGTTGGCTCCGGTAGAAGCAATAGTCACTAACATGGATACAGAGCAAAATGAAAGAATGCTTTCTGGCCAAGACACATCTGAAAGAATTTTCACCGAAATCTAAATCTTGGGAAAGGGCAAACCCAACTCCTTCTAGGAAGGAATGTTCTCACAAAAGGTTTATGCTTGTTTTACTAGGGCTGTTTATTAACAGTATCTGCGCTGGCATCCTTCAGCAGGAAATCAAGGACATGAACTTTTTCCTCTTGAATTTGCAAATTCACAGAGCATGAGAAGACACTGAAAAGAATCTAAATAGATTTCACATCATCTAAATAGATGCCACATATCTAACTGATCCAAAATTTGACTTTCTGAAGACAATTTAATTCTTTAAGGAAAAATCTCTGTAGGGTAGAAATGCAATTAAAATATTAATTTCTACCTCAAACAAAATGGCTCATTTGACAGTCTGCTTTGAAAAGTGAAAAGTTAAAATGGATTTTGGCTAGTCTGCCGTGTCTATTTCCTAACTTCTCTAAGATAGGTGGGTTTTTTTCCATTGGTTTTTGTTTAGTTCTTTTTTCCCTCCTCCCACGTACCACAATGCTAGTGTACAGGTCAAATACTGACTGTATACATCCTTCAGGTTACAGTTAGATTTGCTTATACTGATGCAAGATAAAGCCTTATGATTTGTTTGGGTTGGGCCATACCATCCATAAAAATGCCTTATGATAAATACATAATTACAAAGATGCCCAATAAGAACATTGTGAAGATAGAGCAGTGACCATTTTTAAACGAGGGCTTTGAGAAAGTACTACTAAATCAGAGGTTAAATGCACAGTGTAAGTAGGCTAGTAAAATGCTGTTTAAAATATTATACAGTTGAGCCTTGAACAGCATGGGTCTGAACTGCATGGGTCTAGTTACTGCGGGTTTTTTTTCCCCCAATAAACACAGGACAGTACTCTAAATGTATTTTTCTTATCATTTTTAAAAAGATTTTGTTTATTTGAGAGAGAAAGAGAGAGAGAGATCATAGAGGGAGAAGCAGACTCCCCGCTGAGCAGAGAGCCGGATGCGGGGCTCAATCCCAGGACCCTAAGATCATGACCTGAGCCGAAGGCAGCCACTTAACGGACTGAGCCACCCAGGTGCCCGTCTTATGATTTTTTTTTAAAGGTTGCCCCAATTACAGTATCATCAGCACTGAGTACCCATCTCCCTGTACCCTCATCTGTAGATCAGTAGCGGGTATTACAATTTTATAGAAGGTTATGTATCCATTTGCCAGCTTGTTAAGCACAAGGAGTCTCTAGATAAGTTTTCTATTCCCCCCATGTTCCCTCTCCTCTAGAAAATGAGAAGGGGTCTTTTTACTTATTTACTTTACAAAGTAAACTCTATGCCCAATGTGGGGCTCAAACTCAAGATCAAGAGTCACATGCTCTACTGACTGAGCCAACCAGGTGCCCCTCTTAGGATTTTCTTAATACCATTTTCTTTTCTCTAGCTTACTTAATGGTAAGAATTCAGTATATAATACATATACAAAATATGTGTTAATCAACTGTCATATGTTATTGCTAAGGCTTTTGGTCAACACTAGGATATTAGTAGTTAAGTTTTTGGGGGAGCCAAAGTTATATGTGGATTTCTGATTATGCAGGGGTGGGCCCCCTAACCTCCACGGTGTTCAGAGATCAACTGTATTAACATTTAGGGAACTAGTGATATGTGGCTGGCTCACAAAAGTTCACCCAAATCCCTGTAGAATGCACATGGGCAGTCTTCATCCTCTGAATGGCTTCTATCTCTAAGGACTGTACATTTTTAAAAAAAATTTTATTATGTTATGTTAGTCACCATACAGTACATTATTAGTTTTTGATGTAGTGATCCACAATCCATTGTTTTCGTATAACACCCAGTGCTCTATGCAGTACGTGAGGACTGTACATTTTGAAGTTTGGAACTAGCGAATAGATTTTCCCATAGAAATAATGTTATCTATAGTGTTAGGTTCCCAGACTAGCCTACAGAGATAAATGAAATACTGTATATATGCAATATAAAATAGAAGAAAAAAAACCAACCCACCAAAAGTAAGGAACCAGAAGTTGAAAAATTCCCTAGGTCTTATGTCAGTGTGTTTTCTTGAGGACCTGCAGCAGCACCAGCTGAAGCTGTTAAAACAGAGAGTCCTGGGCCCCACTCCAGACCCACTGGATCAGAATTTGCAAAGGGGGTCCAGAAATCTGTATTTTAATAAACTCCTTAGGTATTTGGAAATCTTATGCACAAGTACCAACTTCTGAGAGTACCAGTAGTCGTCCAACAGTAAGAATTGCTACTTTTATTGAACACTTACTAGATGCTAGTTATTAGTGAAAATGCTTAACATATAGTCCCTCATTTAACCTCAGACAATCCTATCAGGTTGATACCCTTATTATTCCCACTTACAGATGAGGAAACTGAGGCACAGAGTAGTAAAGCGAGATCCACTGTTCTAGCCTTACAGCCACTTCACAGGTGGCATACAGATGCCTGGAGTGTCAACATTTTTAGGGCCCTGCTCCCCAAAAAGTGCTCAGATCAAATTTTCCTCTGCTTCTTTGGTCTGGCCTGATCTAGTTCATCACATATTTGCCCAAAGTGCAGTGGGACTAGTGGTGGGACGAGGGAGAGGTTGGGTGCTTCCCATCAAGGCAGAAGCAGTAGAAGGAATTAAAAGAAGGGCTCTTCTGTCTGAGGTGGGGGCACTGGGCTCTGCCCCTCCAGCTCCTAGGAGAGCCCAGGACTGGAGCAGTCCAGGCAGGCACTGGACACAACGGATAGCTAAGGATAGATGGTGAATCTCAACTGCCTGCTCATGAAGCAGAAGGGCAAGTAAGAACCATGGCAGGAAGGGGCAGAGAGGGGAGGGGCTCACTTTGTCACCATCAGAAGTGAGCCGTTGTTGACTCATCCATCCATCCACCAACTGAGCTCCTCCTATGTACTGGGCAGTGCAGTTCTATTTACTGGGGTTATGGAAATGAAAAAGAGGACAGTTCTTGTCCTCAAAGACTCCCAAATTCCAAAGACATACAGCCAAAGGCCCAGAAACCTATGCCAGCTGGAACCCGTTGAGAACCTCAGAGTCGTTTTGCCCCCAGTGCTATCAACTGGAAGGGATCTCAGTTGAGTGAGCCCCAAGTTGGAGACGATCTGGATTTGCATTCATGACATGCCAACCTTCATCTCCCTCTTCAATTTCTGGGACTGGGTTTTTGCCTCCAGGACTCACAATATTTTAGCGATACCCACAACAAATTCAGACCATTTGAGAAACGGGGCAAAGCAGGTAAAGAAAAAGTCCTCCATGGAGGAATGCTTTAATGCAATGTAACATTAGTGTTTTAAAACAGTAATCAGAAATATGTAGCTTTTCAACTTCTCATTCTTATGGATTCAAAGTTCAAGTCTAGGTGGCTTTGGAGTGAGACGTGGCTGGGTTTTGAGAACAAATGAAGGCTGCAGCATGTATAAAGACTATCTAGAATGATGTGATTTGGGACTTCCCCTGTTGTCTTGGACCTTCAGCTGGAGCCCAGAGCTAAGGCCAATAGGAAGTAACACCAAGCCTGCTAGAGTGCTGCGAAACCATCCCTCTAGGGCTTGCTGAAAGGCAGCCAAAATGGTCCTTCTGTACTCACCCTCATGCCCTATTCTGCCTACAGAGGCAGAAGCCTGGTGTCTGTAGGAATCACAGGATGAAGAGAGCAAGTATTTGATCTCCCCTTCCTTCCTCCTGGGGAGGAGGGCAGAGGGAGTTGCCTTCTTCCTCATGCCCAGTGAAGGGTGGTGGGTGCTCCAAGAGAACCACGCACAGAAACTGGAGGTGCCAGTAATGAGAGCTTGTTATCCCACTCCCTGGAGGGATGCTTGCCCAGTCGCAGTGACTTATGAGGCCCATCTTGGTGCACCGGGTAGGAGCCCTTTGTGAGAGAGAGTCCTTGGGGCAGCTTGACAGGTGATGTTCGTGGCCCTGAGTGAAACATACTGATGCCTGCCTCTTTCCTGGCTGGAGGCCACCTGGGGCAGCCCTTGCCAGCAGGGTGAGGCCGGTGGTAGGGCAACCCACCCTTGTAGTGTATGTGTGTGTTTCCCATGAGTCAAGGAGCTGCTTCAGAGTGTGATCTGGCTGCAGCCATCTGGATGGCTGTCCCTGTCCAAGAGGGCTGTCTGCACGGAGCAAAGGGACCCAGAAGTAAGTAGCTGTGGGATAACACCTGGGTGCAGGAGCAGAGAGGGTGCTGCTGAGGCCAGCTCCAGAGTCCACTGATGATGCAGAACCCAGGACAAAACCAACATCTGAGGACTGCCACATCAAGCGCATCGACAGCCAAGAGGGCCCTGGCTGCCTGAGGGACAGGGTTCTGGAACATGCTGTTTAAGGGCTGCTTTCTCTTTTCCATGACCAGACTCTCGAGTTCCTTGACGTTCAGTAACAGCACCTCACATGGGGCTAAGTACACAGGAGATGTTTAATACATGTTTCTTGAAAAAATAAAGGCGTATTTGAGCTGGTGCAGAGGAACTGGAAATAGATATTTTTAAAAAAAATTTCAGAGTGACATAAAAATAAACAGACTGGGAATACTTTCTTAGCTTGTTTCTTTAGGAACCAGATACCATTTATCTTTGGTCCTTCTTGCATAGTTAAAAACTTTCCCT